ACTCATCTTTTCACCTGGCCCTGAGCCTTGCGGGGTTCGTGTCTCATTCATGGAGAAACATGTCCCGGCAATTTGACCTGAGGTGGGGGTTTCACCAGGGAGCGAATGGAAAGCGAGTCCCCCTCCTGCAGTAGACAAGGGGTGGGGAGACTTTAGCCTAGGAGCTGGAGAGCTGGGTCACAGAAACTGCACACAGTCGAGCTGCCCCTGCAGCGGCTGTGGACACCCTCATCCAGGAAAACCAAAGCCCCGACTGAAAGCCGGATTCAGCAGTCACCTCTGTAACTACAGTTCCAGCCACGTTTCCCTGGAGAGCGCACAGAAATTTTATTTCTCAGATGGAGAACCTGAGGCCCAGGACACAACGTGAGGTGCCAGCAAGGTCAAGTCTGGTTGGAATTGGGACCTGGGAGTGAGTCCCACAAGGTTTGCAGGGCAACGTGACTTTGCCTTCAAATTCATGTTCATGAATTCTCTGAGCATTGGTACAGCCAAGTTCACCACCAGCCCCCACATGTTCTCCAAGAACAAACAGAAAATCGCTGGGGTCGGTGAAATCTGGTTTTGCATTATTTTCACATCTGCTCCCAGGATGATTTCCAATCAGAGACACCTTGAACCTGAAGCCATAACCACCTGCAAATTGGTGATCAATTGGCCATCGAGGGCAGGCTTGTCCCTTCTAATGGGCCAGGCTCCAAGAGGGGCAGGCAGGCCTGGCTCCTAAGGTGCCCGGTTTCACAGTCCGAGCATCCTGCCTCGGCGCTGGGGACAGCTGGCAGGGGATGGGACCCTGCCTCACCGCTGGGCCGTCCGCTGTGGCGTTGGCTCTTTTCCTGTATACGCCTGTAGTTGTTATGGAGGTTTGTACCACACCAGTCTCTGGGCTCAATGGTTTTATTCGAGTTAGAGACCATCACGCTACCCACTCAGGAAAAAGAGAGATTCAGAGAGGGACAATAACTTCTTCAAGGTCACGGTTTCAGGTGAATTCCGAGGCGCATCTGTTTGTCAGGGCTCTTGAAAACTGCACTGTGCTGTCCCTGCACCGGGCAATGCACTGCTCACTTGAAGACTCTTAATAAAATTCTGGCATCATACGTGAGAATCTTTGGTGGGGACAAGAAGTTTTGCACTGCATGGTTGGTAATGGTATAAACAATTAGGCTAAACTAAATTTACATAAACAGACAAAGGGTTAAACTGTGGACCGTTCATCTTAAGGAATACGATATCCCAGCTCATAGGAATGAAGGCTTACCCTTGAGACCTAACCTTAAGTTTAAAAAAAGCAAGATGATCAAAACTACAATAAGATGCTTTTTCTACACGGGAAGAAGAAACCAGATGTATCTACATGCACATTTAGTTGTATAGAAAGTCAGGTGGAAGTCCAAAAGGTGCACTAAATTGAACCCTCTCGAGAGGGTCCTGGGATGAGGAGAAAGGACAGGAGAGAAGTTTCTTCTGTCTGCATTATTGTGCTACATTGAGAATGTTGTCCTGTGTTACTTGGGCAAAGCCAACAAAAGCGTGAAAAACAAAAGCAGTTTTTTCATATATAATTTACAGGTACATATGTATTGACCACAAATGCTATTTCTTCTATAGCCTACATGTTTATACTATGGGCAGCCAGCTAATACTGACTTTCCCCAAATTTGCATTTTAACGTTAAATAACATTTGACTATAAACAGTGATACAGACTTCCATGGACCATGTAGTTATAATCACTTACTGAAAAGTCAGGCTCCGTATGTGGCTGTGGGACCACAGGGTGCTGGAGACCCAGTCCCTGTCCTTCAGGGGACAGTCTCTGTCTAACAGATGAGATTGCCAAGTTAAAAAAATAACTGTAATATATGCCCTTATCCTACATTCCAGCAATCTCTCTCCTTGGTATCTGGTCAAATGAGTTGAAAGCTTATGCCCTCCACACACACACACAAAAATGCACACAGATGCTTAGAGTGGCTTTATTCATAATTGGCAAAACTTGGAAACAACCAAGATGTCCTTCAGTAAGTGAATTAATAAGTATACTGATAAATTTGAACAAGTGAACTTTTTAAGTTCTTATTTTTTTTTAAATAGAGGTAGTGGGGATTGAACCCAGGACCTCCTGCATGCTAACCACATGCTCTACCACTGAGCTATACCCTCCCTGCAATGGAATGTTATAAAACCATGAGAAGGTAAGGAGGAACCTTCAATATCTATTACTAAGTCAAAGAACCAATCTGAAAAGGCTACATACTGTATGATTCCAACTACATGACATTTTGGAACAGGCAAACTCTAAGACCAGCAAAAAACAATCAATTGTTTCTAGGGGTTGAGGCAGAGGAGGGCTGGCTAGGCAGAGCAAGGAGGATTTTTAGCACAGTGAGATCACTCTGTGTGATATTACAGTGGTGGAAATGCATCACTATACATTTGCCCAGACTCGTAAAATGTAGAACACCAAGGGTGAACCTTAACGTAAACGACATACTTTGGGTGATAATGACGTGTCAGTGTAGGTTCCTCGATTGTAACAAACTCGTACCAGTCCGATGGGGGATGTTGGTAGCTGGGGAGGCTGTGCACATGGTGAGGGCAAGACTTAAGTGGAAACTTTCTGCACCTTGCACTCAATTTCACTTAGAACATAAAACTGCTCCAAAATACACAAAATTTATTTTTAAAAATATAATACAATTCTTCCATCTCTGAAATTTTATTATTCTAAATGTTTTTTTTAAAGAAGAAACAGTTTTTGTTGAATGATCTTTAAGGTCAGTTTTAAAGACTTTTTTCTTTTGAGGCTCCAAACCAAGTTACACATTTTAAAAAATATTCACATGCTTCCTTTAAAAACACTAAATTTCCTTTACAATTTTGAAAGACAGTTTGTACCTTTAATATTTATAGAAATCACAGGGCAAATATTTATACTCAACTAGCATTTACCTTACGGCACTTTTTTTAGAATGCCAAACAATACAGACTCATCAGTGGCCTCATGTAAGTGCTGAGTCCTTCCTTATTTCCTTAATGTTGTAGGAGGAGGGTGAGCTTGAGGAATGGAGACTCCTTGGGGCAGGGGTGGTGAGTCTGCTAGGAGGGAAAGTAAGGAAAAGTCTCATTTATCGAGCTGCTCGTGTATGCCAGGTCCAGGGTCAACACATCAGGGTGCTTCATCTCATTGCTCCTACAAGGACCCATAAGCTATGTGCATCGTTACTGTCATTTTCCAGGGAACCTGTGCCTCTTGCCTAAGGTCCCCACCACCCCAACATCCACGCCATCCCCAGAGCCAACAACACCAGCAGGCGTCATAAGCCCTTGGTTTATGGTCCCCGTGATGGTTAATTGTATATGACATTAATTCTGGGTGTTTCTGAGATGGTGTTTCTGGAAGAGGTTGGCATTGAAATCTGTAGGAGGTGAAGTGACCTGCCCTCACCAGTGTGGATGGGCACCATCCTGTCCTTGGCAGCCTGAATGGAACCAGATGGCATGTCCGCTTCCCCCTGCCCCCCTTCTTGCTTATGAACGTTGCAGTTTCTGGCTCTTGACACTTGGGACTCTGAGACTTACAACCGTGGTCCCCTGGTTCTCAGACCTGGGGTTCCATCACCAGCTCCCCTGGTTTTCAGCCTTTAGCCTCAGTCTGGGTTATAAAACTGGCTTTGCTGGTTCTCTAGCTTTCAGAGCGTAGACTGTTGCACTGCTCGGCCTCTCTAACCCTGCAAGCCTGTTGCCATAACAAATCCCACCTAATAAATATAGAGAGAGATGACTCATGAACAGCATGGCTTTGAACTGCTCAGGTCCACTGACATGGGGGTATTTATCAGTATGTTAGTACAGCAAAGCCCCCTCTGCAGTTGTTGATTCTGGGGATGTGGAACTGAGGGCCGAGAGGGTCGGGTAGGAGTCATAAGATGTGTGTAACAAGTATTTTGTGACACATCCTGATATGTGGATGATAAAACATGCTACACTAGTCTTCCCTGATAGGGAGAGACAGCGGGCGGGGGGAGGGGGAATGTTAGTCTCTCAATGACATGACCTACCCCCCACCAAAGGATATAATTTCTTCATGTGGCTTAGAAATAATGAAATCATGTTATACCTGTACATTTCAGTATTTCCTAAAAGGAACTTGGTGGTTTTACTCTTTACTGGTGACAAGTGGTTTAATTCAAGAACCACTGCCCTCCCATGGCAGGTGTGGGTTGGTGAGGACATGAGGCTCTGGCTCATCTGCGGTGTGGACGAACCCTTTCAGAAGTGGGTCCATTACTTATGTAGTGAAGACCTTTCCCAGTGCACAGAATGGCCCGGAATTGAGAATTAGGCACCCACATGGAGAAAGATGAGGAGTTCTCATGTCCGTGTCATGATCTGAGTTGGCAGTGAGTCAGCCCTGCCAAGAGCCCTTCACTCCAGTGGCTCATTGGCCACTGAGTGTGATGCCCTTAGTGTGTGATTAACTAACTGAACAGCCACAGAAATAAATAAGGAGGTAAGAGATGCCCCAGACAGAAGACAGAACTGGTGGGAGTGGCAGGGTTTCAGCTCACAGACAACTCAGTGCCTTTTTTTTTTAAATCAGTAGCTGGAGATTCCTGAGATGCAAACTGAGAAAACAGAATAATACACAATGGAGAGCAGGAGTCGGTTTACACCAAGGGTCCCTTTATTTCTGACCATTTCTTTACAACCGTACACATAGGGGTCAGTCCAACACGAGCACCTCAAGCCCATATTCCCTCCAGAAATTTAGATTCGTCGTCCTGACTCTATAGATACATGTCCGCGCAAGTCCCATCAACCCCCTGAGTCAGCATTTCCCCTGCGAGCCTGCACCCCCGCTGGATCGCCTCTCCTTTCCCTATTCACACTGAGCAGATGTCTGAAACCACGGTCTGTGTTCCCTTCATAATGCAACTATGTCCTAGATTTCAGTTTCCACACACCCAGAAGAAAGCTTTTGATGGAGACTACCAACTAGGCGGGGGTACTGCAGCAGTACATGATGGGCTCCATGTGGTCACATACGTCATCCCCGCAGTAAGGACAGAAGCTGAGGCTAAGCCAGATGGTCCTGGGACGTCCCAGGTCTCTCAGGATCTCCATGAGCTCAGCCTGCAGCTGGGCAATTCTCCCTCGAAGTGGAACTCCTTGAGGGCTGTAACTCTCCCGAGGGGCGGGGTAAAACTCAGCACATAGACTGGGCAGCCCGTCGGTGTGTCGCAGCAGCTTCTCAGTGACGGCCATGGAGAGGAGGTTCCCACCCAGGCTCAAGGTCCTGAGCTGGGAGCAGCGGCTCAGGGCGGGCAGGATGGCCTCCAGATGTGAGTCCATGATCCCACACAGGTTTAAGTCCAGTTCCTGCAGGGTGGCCGCAACTTTCTCCAGCAGAACTTGGAGCAGCTCAGGCCTGAAGTTGGTCAGGGTGACACCACTCAGATCCAAGCCCTTTAGCTGACTGATGTTCGGGCACTGGCACAGGTGGGTGAAGTCCGATTCCGAAAGCTGGCAGTTAGTTATTGAGAAGTTGTCCAAGGGGGTCTTTAGGAACCTGAAAAGAAACCAAGCAATTAGTCTTTGGAAAACCAGGTGCCAGGTGAGAGACAAATGATTTGGCCAAGGACCAGGTCGTTCTGACCATCTGATGAAGGTCAGTACACAGGATGCCCAGTCTCACTTCAGGCTGAATCCTTTCACCTTTACTATGTGACTGAGTCAAGTACATAGAATGTTGAAAGCTCTCTTTTCCTCGTCTGTCAAGCGAACTAAACCTTACTTCCTTGTGGGGATGAAGATAATATGCTCAGAGGAGATCCTGACACACTGTTCAATCCAGTGTTGTTATAACTGAATTTTAATATGGGAAATGAGATTCTAAAAAATGCTTTCAGCTAAGGCTTCCTTCAGCACTTGCTTAGGCTCCTGAAGCTCATGTCTCTGGGCCAGGTGAGGCTTGTTGGAGACATGCAGGAAGGACCAACCTAGGCAAGCTCTCTCAGCATCCACTAGGGTTGCCAGTCTGCCAGGGCTGACTTACATCCCTGCATCATCTGCAAACCATCTACCACTTTTTAGTATTCCTTTGGCTCCAGCTCCCTAACCATCCTGTCCAGAATGATGTATTTTCCATACATTAACTACCTTATCTGGAACACAAAGTAAACTTTTACAGACAGGGAACTTGAGACAGGCTCATTGTGGTCATGACCTGGTGAGCACAGAACATCTCTTTAGAAATACTCTGGTCTCATGTGGTTTCCCCTCTTCAATATCCTCTTCATTTATCTTTTTTTATTTTTAAGTCATTTGAACACAGACATCTCTTCCTAAGGAAGAAATCACAAACCCTCCATTACTAGATCAGAACACCCCAGTCTACAATCTGAACCTTCCTAGCCTGGTGTCCCTTTCCAGAGCCGCTGGACCAGTTTGGCTTCCTGCCTTGATTTGTCTGGTTATGTGGCACTACGCTTTGGGACAGAGCAGCAAAGGAGACGATGCACGTGACAGTCTACTGTTGTGCTCCCTGTCACACGGCCAGTGGTCCCCTCTCACCTGAGCACCTGGTCCAGGTGGCCTTCAAGGAAAGAGGGAGATTCTATATGGAGGTTCCGGAGGTGGTGCAGCCTGAGGAACTGAGAGGTAAATTGGGCAAGATGCTGCTGGTCCTGCTCCTCAAAGGCAGACACGTTGATGTGGGAGAGGAGGAGTTTCTGCACACTAGTCATCTGGCCCAGCAGAGGAGCAAACCCGGCCAGGGTGGACAGGCGCCATGTGCAGTCCATGTCCACCTCCTGGATACAGTCCAGCTGCACCCGACTCAGGACCTTCATAATATTTCCCACGGGCATTGAAACAATCTTCAGCTTTTTGCAGCACAGGTGAATCAAACCTTTCCTCTGCTCCACCCACCTGAGGAAGTAGGTGAGGAATCTATTCAGGGTCCTTTTCTTGAGATAAAGATCTATGAACACCTTCAAGGGAGCCAAGGGCTGCTTTGTCCTCAACCTGTCCTCAGCCACTGGTGCCACCCGTGACCTTGAACACACATGAGTGCCTTCTCCAGACCACATGCTCCAGAATCTCTGGCCAGTGTTCCGTAAGTCCAGCACCCGCAGTTTGCACCTCCTGTAGGGAAACAGCAGATTGACTGGGATGCAGTAAGATCCACGCTGAATGAAGCCACAGACTCAGAATTTAGACACGGACGCCCGGAATTCCTACCTGTGCTCTCTCTTCACATTCCTGACATTCGGTGCAGCCTTGCCCTCTTCCTTCTCTGCCTCACTTTCCTCCATCACCCTTCCCCTCCTATCCTTCCTGGTTCTCCACTTTAAGTACCTTTAAGCATCACTGGGAGAAGGTGGCGCATCTTTGTTAAAGTGCCCTGCGCTTAGGCGCTCCTGCACTGCAGGAAGGCATTGCCCAAAGTGAGCTCCGCAGTGGCCAAGACCTCTGAGCTTTTTTGTTGGCATCATCAGAGCCTCTGGTCCCTCCCTTGGCCACTCACTTCCCCTCACCCCAGCTGTCTCCTCAGGGACGCACAGGACCCTACAGGCTACTCACCTGGGGCGAACTTTCTGGGCTAGCAGGACATCGAGCCCATCCAGCACGGCTTGTAATGGCCCCACATGAGGCAACTCTATTAGGCCCCCCAGAGGCAGGCGGACAAAGGGCCAGACTTGCACCAGGGCCTTCAGGGTCTCAATGCGTCTCTCAAAGAAGGCCTCAAGGAACAGAGGCGGGAAGAGCTCGGTGGGCAGGTACTCCAGAGCAGTGACGGCCGAGGCCTCGTTGTCCCTCAGCAGGCTGGTTCCCGCCAGGTCCAGGAGTCGGGATGGAATCCAGGTACTCATCCTGACTCTGCTCCAAAAGGAGTCCTGTAGAAACTTCCAGAGAACAAGACATTCATTTCAGGCCAGGAAAGAGCACACCTTAGTCTGTCTCCCCACCCTTCAGAGGAAGCTGCTCAGGGCCAAAGTCACGGCCCTGGGAATGATGGAGGAGCCTCAGTTTACCCCGATTCCACGCTAGGCTCCGTGGGCACAAAGCTAGAGCTCTTTCCTTCCTGGATGCAGAACAAGCGCCTCACAAGCACTGAGGAGGAAGGAAGGCAACCACTAGCCCGTTCAGTTCCACCCACTGCTGTGCTTCATGTCCCCTGGGAAGTGGGTACCAGTAGCCTGAAAGCCAACTGCAGACTTTTTGGGGGGAAGACTTTCAGACCATCCCTTAGAGCCCCGAAGAGGGGCATCACGTGGACCCACCGAGCCTACATCGTCAGTTACCACAGTTCACCTGGCTGTAAAGATTAAGGAGATACCCCGGAAATGAATGCCCTTTGTGCACAAACTCAGCATTTTAAATTTCAAGGAATAAAATTCCAAACAGATGTTTTCGGATTAAGACTATCTGCTTGCTTAAGACATTTTACAATGATGTAAGCCAAAGCACAAATCGAAACGTTTGGGGCACAGGCAAAACCACACATAGAGGCAAAACCAAACCTTAAATCTGCTGATCTGAAAAGAAATAATTTTTAAAAACCTCTCTCCGCCATCCCGGGCCCCATTCAAGATGAGCTAACCATGGGTAAGAAGAGGGCGTCCTATCCGAGCTTGGTAACTTACTTGCTGGGATGTGGCTGGCGGGGTGCTCGGTCCGCAGAGCCGCTGAGAACCCAGCCAGTGAGTCCAGAGCCAGAAGAGTCTGCATCTCTTCTTTGGTGCCTGAGGTTTTTATAGACCTTTCTAATCCCATCATCCCTCTTTCCAGCTACTAACTGTTCAATCAGGAAGGGTCACTTGATTAGATTCCAGACTGCCCATCAGACTGATCCTGATTGGATCTTCATCTTTCCCCAATTTACTTGCTGAGTCAGATATTCATCCAGCAAAGAAAAAGAACGAGGCAGGGTGGGAACCAAGGACTCTTTCATTCATTCACTCCACACACATGGATGAGTTATGCCGATATGGGCATTTAGGGCAGTGGATGTGAGACAAGGGCGGCATTATGGCTTCCTGACATTGGAGAGGAAAAATGAAACTTGAAAGCATCATTTTAGGGGAAATACCAAAATTATCAAAATGTCCCTGAATTTAAAAGCTTCATGAAGACAGGGGTGTCATTTACAAAGGAAACAAGATACATTTAAACTCATATCAAGGGTCACTTAGGTGTCATGTCAGAAGCACAGGACATCGTGAACCTATTCAGGGAGCAAGGGAAGTGCTTTGGGGGATGTGGTTGATTTTCCAGCCTTAATCCAAGCCTTCTCTGAAGGTGGACGGGTCAAAATCGCAATGAGCTGTGGCGGTGCGGGCTGGGCGCTGTGGAGCTGGGCCTTCCCAAAAGGACCCTGTGATTGTCTGCAAAACTGTGGAATAAAGGGTACTTTTATTCTTGGGAAGGAGGGAGGTGAAGATTTTTCCCTGGGTGTTATTTAGAAATTAAAAGGGAGTGTCTAAGAGGAGACAGTGTCATCTTTTTGTTTTTTAATAGACTTTATTCTTTGGAGCAGTTTCAGGTTCACAGCAGAATTGAGCAGAAAAAACAGAGAGCTTGCACATAGCCCTCTCCACCCACACATATATCCTCCCCTACCCTCGACATCCCTCATCAGTGGGATGGTACAATCGATGAACCAACATGGACATGTTATTATCAACCCAGGTCTATAGTTTACAGCAGGGTTCACTCTTGATGTTGTACATTCTATGGGCTTTGACAAATGCATCATGACATGGAGCCACTATAGTATCGTATGGAATAATTTCATTGCCCTAAAAATCCCTTGTGCTCCAGCTGTTCATTCCTCCCTCCCTCCCTCTCCCCAAACCCCTGGAAACCCTGGTCTTTTTATTGTTTCTGTAGCTGTGCCTTTTCCAGAATGTCATTTGGTTGGAATCATACAGTTTGTAGCCTTTTCAGGCTGAGATAGTGTCATCTTTGAGGGTGTATCCTTCCGGAAAGTTGGGAGTCAGGGCGAGCAAACTAGGACGATTAAAAATAAAAAAAAAACCCAAAACTAAATCTGAGAATGTGAGCAAGGGAGAGGTGTCCTGCCCTGGAAATCAGACATTTCCAAGTCTAAGAGCCACCGAGGGAGGGTACTGCAGGCTCTTTGGGAACTTGGCGCCAGAGGGAGACATGAACGTGGATCAGTCACTCCTAACCCTGTCGTCCGCGCGCAGCTGCTCTCAGGAGATGCTTTCTTTAAGTTTTCTTTTTTTTCCCCCCAACGAGGACATTTTCCAGATGACAAACGAGTCCATCCATTTTCCAGGGGCCTTGGGAGCAGAACCACCAGCCCTTTTCCAAGTGTATTTTGGTAATTACTGTTTCCTTAAACTCAGGTAAGTTCAATTCAGATTCTGATCAAGGTGACGCCGTTAAGCAAAGAAACAAAATTCTGTTTTTCCCTTCAGAGTAAGCACTGTTCACAAATACCAGCACCTTTGCCCACAGAAGTCAGGGGCTGTATTTGAGGCTTAAGGGTCTCCCGTGTCCAGGGATGGCTCCCACCCTGGGCTGCATCACATGGAGATTCTTTTGAGGTTTCAGGATGCAAAGAAAGTGAGATCCTCCCCCCACCCCAGAATTTTCCGTGCGTTTCAACCCTGCTCCCTCCATTTAACGTGATGCCCAAACAATCCTTGTGTACCACTGGCTGCCCAGCTGGGATTCTTTCAGGGGTGTCCTCCACCTTGATAACTTCCCAGAAGATTCCTTTCTCCACATTTCTTCCATGGCTAAACGTGGCCTTTGCATAAAATTGGATTAAACTGAATTGTACTCAATAGACATTTTAAGTCCCACCATCCATCCTCTTTATTAATGAGCTGCAATAGAATGAGATTTGTAACAACAATAATCATATAATAATCATACTATTAAACACAAGCTGGGTAAGTAATGGTGTCAGTACATTATATCGACGAATTCCAGTAACGTTCGCAGAAAATCTAGACGTCACTGCTATTTTCCCCATTTTTAAGCTGGTGAACCAAGGTCCCTGCTGGGTAGAGATTGCCTTGGTTGAAGGGATCAGAAGGACCCCTGGGTTCTCAGACAGTCTAACCTGTTGGAAAGAACTGACTGACAGACTTCACGCGATGACAGTGGAAATGGAGAAACTGCAGAGTCTAAGCTGGGGGTGTTCCTACGGCGTCCCACCTGCTGTGAGATCCCCCCCAAAATCATTATTTTCAAGTGGCAACTTGTAAATAGCTCCCTTAAGAAATCTCAAGGGCTGATATGGAACGCTACAAAGTGGCCAGACTCCAAGTTGCTCATTCTCAGATACACAAGAATTTGAAAGAGCTTTCCTGCCTCAGCAGGAATCAGCTGTGGGAGCTTTAAGTGGTGAAGGCAAGTTTTATTCAGGACTATCGCAATGGAGGAAAAGAGACCCCAGTATGGGACCGGGCTCCATTCACATTACAATGGATACAACTGGGGATTCATGATCAAGGAGCAAGGGGGTTGGTGGCTGGAATTTTGCTAAGAGGAGCCATCAGTTCCGGGAGCAATTCTGGTGAACCACTGAACAGAATTCTTGTTGAAGGCAGCCCAGCGTGATCAGATACCAAGAGAGGGCAGAGAGGAGTTTGGGGGTTTCCTGCAGACTGCCTTAGGGTTCTTGTTAAAATTGGGTATTGCGAAGAAGAGCACAGATAATCCCCGGAGAAGGTTCAGAAGGCTGAACAAATTTTGGTCAAACAAAGAACATTTGTCAGTTTGAGGGCACTGTGTTGAGGCTGTGGGTGGACAGTGCCAACCACCATGTAGTGAAGGGCTCGGCCAAATGAGGAACAGAATGCAAGCCACCGAGGCTGGGCAGGGAGGGTGCAGGCAGGTCACGTGGGACTTGCAATGAAGAGGGGATCCTTCGGGAGACTCCCATGATGTGACTAATGCCCTCCTGCTCACTGCGGTGGTGGCAGGGAGATCAAGCTGCAGGGACACAGGAGCCCGAAGGGAGAGGAGGGTGAGAGCACAGCCTTCACAGGCTTGGACGAAGCCAGCATGTTGGAGACCCACCGAGGTGTGGAGACATAGGAGGTGACGCAGCGCTGGCATATGCAGGAGGCTCGGGGGTGGGGGGGAAGCAAAGAGAGCAGGATGCCCACTGGGCTGCTGGCTTGGTCCCCTGGGGACTGGTCCTCTCTTTATGGTGATGGGTTGCTATGAAGTGAGTGTTTGCCTCAACCCCCTGACGAATTCATGTCTTGAAGCCTTAATCCCCAGTGTGCTGGGATTTGGAGATGGGTCTTGGGAGATAACTAGGTTTGCATGAGGCCGTGTGGGTGGAGCCCCAAGATGGGGTCAGTGCCCTTATCGGGGAACGAGGAGACCTGAGTGCACCCCACCCCCACCACGTGGGGAGACTAGGAAGCTGGCTCTCTGCACAGCCCGACCACGCCGGCTCCCTGATCTCAGGCTTCCAGCCTCCACAAACTGTCAGACATAAAGTCTCCTTGTTTAAGCCACCCACTCTGTGGTATACTGTTACAAGGACTTGGACAAAGTAAGACACTGGGGAACGGGACAGCAACAGTGTGAGGGGAACCATGAAGTGCTCTGTGCACTCGTGATTTTTTTTTTTTTGGACAAGACACAAAAAAACATTAAGAAGGTGACGCTCTGTATAGTAGGAAGTAAAGTGGAGGTCTCATGATTGACTTTACAATGTAATCACACTTACACAAAATTCCGTATAGATGTAACTTATCACTCTTTCATTCATTATTTCTGATCATGTCTCCGACATGCTCACCATTTCCCCAGGGTCCCACTAGATCTAGATAAAGAGTTTAGGATGTGAAAGTTACAGGGGCCCCACCCTCGTGGA